CTTCTTCGGTACAGGGATGATGGTGGAAGACTTGAGACACTCAGGAACCATGGTGAACTGCAGGGACAGATTGAAAATGTCCAGAAACACTCCTGCCAGCTGGTCGGCGCATGTTTTCAGCGTCTGGCCTGACACCTTGTCCGGTCCTGTAGCTTTGCGGGTGTTGATTAAGTGTCCTGCACTGAACCTATCATTCAGACTTGGTATCTAAATGTGTCCTGAGTGACCACATAGACTTGGATCTTACTAGCTGTTAGAGAAGACAGCTAGAAGTCTTTATTACAGAGGTCTTCTTCTGACATATTTGAATACATGTAATCATCATAAAAGAGCCGAGTGTGTTATGACTGTCTCTGAGGCATGCAGAGAGGGGGAGGGAGATGAAGGAGCGAGTGAGAGGGAGATAACATAACCCTGTTTATCATTAATTAGCCAAATAATAATTAACTTTGAGGGGAATTTTGAAAAAGGAAGTATCGCAGAAAAAAAAAACACCTTAACAATAATCTGGACAAGAAGAAATAAGAAATTTATTAAAAACCTTGCATGGTGAGAAGAAAAATACAGAGTCAACGGAGTCTCTCAAATCTCCAGCAATGGATCTGGCTTCCTTTTATATGGTTCTGGTCAGAGAAGAGTGGGATGATTGGAATATAGGTGTGAATCCTTAATTCACACCTATGTACCAGGAATTCTGTGGAGCTCAACGCAGATGGTCTTGCCATTTGTCTATTGCTAAGGATAGGGGATTTGTTCTTTAATGTTAAAGAGGGCAGCTTTATTGCTGATAAGATCTGGGTTGGGGAAGTAACACTTAGTCTCAAGCATCAAGAACCTCTCGTGACATTGTAGAGGTCTATATATGAGCAGCTTGACCTATCCCATGATAAGACTGAAACGAACCAAAAGCACATAGAAAAACAAAAACTTATTATATGTATACCTTATAAATTTTTGTTAAAACAAGAAACCCAGTTAATCCCAATTTTTTTCCTGCAAAATAAGTGCATGCATTTCAATCCTTGGACCTCCCTAACACATTATATTTATGAATATGTTATGTTATGTTAGTGAAAATGCAGGTTTTATACTTAGCAACAATTGTTGCCGGTGGGAAACTGCACAGTCCAAATCACACAAATATGACCTATTTACACATAGAAAAACAAAAAGAAAAATCATGACATGCATAACTTATTATAACAAAGAATGGTTACAAGAGTGCTCAGAAATATTTTAGATATATACAGATTCAATGCTACATCCTGCAGATGTCATAGTCTCAATGTGCCAAGTGACCTTTAATCTCATTTGGTTATTTCATCAATGAGGAAAAGTCAGGTGAAAATGTTAGTATGAGCAAATATGCATCTTTGAAGAAATTCTCCCTGTTCCACCAGACCAATCACAGCACCTTGATCCCCCCCCACCTCCATGCCTTTGAGAGGCGTGGAGGTGGGGGGGATCAACTGTAGGAATGACTGATGTAAAAGACATCATTTTGAGGTTCCTTCAGGTCTAGAAGATCTAAAATATGTGATAGTTTTAACCTGTGCGGGCACACCACGCCATATAAAATAAACAGGCAACCCATTGACACATAGCACAGTGCTGTTTATGTATTATGCTAGTGGCAACAATTGTTGCCATGCTTATATTCACTCTTATCATTAAAAGATGAATGAAGGGATACTATTTTCTTTATGTGACGGTTCCGGTGTGATTCAAAAGAACTGTATTTAAGATAAAATTGTAATAATTCTTCCCAAAAAGTTACCTTTAAGGCACACAGGCCCGCTACAGATGAGGCTTGAGACAATCTCACCAAATTCAATAATTTTATTTATTACCCCATTTCATTCTAATCAATAAAATATACTATGTTAAGACCACTCACACATTTAAATAACAGTGATGGCTCAAGTACAGGATGGCAGTGCAGTTCAGGGTAGTGACCTAAATAAAAGAAACACAGCAAACAAAGCAGCAAAACTAAAGAAAATTGTGCAACAAATCAAAAAGTACCACCACCCGGAAAGTCCACCACCAACACCACGAACTGGCCTTTCCTGTCAAGATAAAACAGATATTCAAATTACATGGGTCATTTCATATTTATTGATCAGTCCACAACCAATCAAGCAGCAATCGTTCAATTAAGGATCCGTCCTGGGATGCCACGCCGCAGCGGACACCACCCAGAGTGGCACCAGCAGAATCCGTCCAAGCTGGTCACCAGTCCGAACCAGCCACACTGGACAAGGGGCAGGCGTCAGGTTCACGCTGACCACGACGGCTGGCAGAAAGCCAGCAACCAGGGCGACAGGTGGGCGCGAGCTCCATGTGTAGTGCCTCTGGCTGGGAGGAGGATCAGGCAGTTTGCACAGACCGCCAGGAGAAAGCGATCAGCGTGCATCAGTCAAGCGCACATTGGTGTGTGGCTGGTGCTGCACAGCAAACAGAGGTCTAAACCGGTGAGGTGAGGGAGGGCAGCTCCAGATGGTTAGTTATGTTAGAGAAGAGTCGTCTTTTTTACTGAGATAATACGGATCATATCCTAAATGTAAGAGTATTTTCTTGACATGCCTCGTCTGTTTCAGCCCATTTAGGGCATTAACTACTCATTGTGATTTATTTTGCTTTGTTTTGAACTGGAGAAATCCATTTCCAGACCACCATCTGAATTTCACGTGTCATTTGGGTCATGTGTCTGAAACCCAGCAATATCAGTAGTAGACACTTGAAATAACATACGTTCAAAATATTTTACTTATATAAGTTCATTTAAATAATTTAAAATAAATATTTACAAATATTCAAATATTTTAAATATCCTCTTGTACAGGTTGTGACAGACATTTACCTCCAGCGTAACAGGCTGGAGGTAAAGAGGTCTGTTCATGTGAAGCCTTCACACTATAGACATGAAACTGATATTGCTTAGAGCAGATACACTTCCAGAAGTTAGAAAAAAATGTCTGCCAACAATTGTTGCCGGTGGGATTAAATGACTTTTACAGAAGAATTACAACTGTGAAAATAAAATACACAGTAAGTTGGTGATTATTTCTTCATTGTAAAAATCTGTCATCCTCGCCTGTTGTATCCCTGGCTTTATTTTCTTGACAGTATATTGTCCACTCATTAGATCTGGTGGATCTCGGAGTTGTCATGACCAGAGCTGGAGATCAACTCTGGCTTCTCCACATGTTCTCAACAGCACCACAGCCTCACAGTGCTGTGGTCACTTCTAGGCAGGGCTTGATGTCATTTTGCTGCCTGAAGTTGGCCAAGTTGGGTCAGACAACCCAAGTTGGGAAAACTTCTGAAGCACCAAGTTGATCACTTGTAAATAATAGATATTCCCAGAAATATATTTTTGCGATGTTCCCAAAAGGTGGTAAGCCAATACATATATAGTTTAAACTCACAATTTTCCAGCTACACCAGCTCAGACCATCCTGTTTCAATGTTCAGTTCTTTGAAAAATTCTGCCTCATAAATAGATTTTTAAAAAATTTTTATTTATGTATTTATTTATTGTGGGCTCTAGTGTCCTTTACATGAAAGTATGCTGACAGGAAGGGGCTAAGAAGAGGGGGGAGAAATGCAGCAAATATCGGTGGGTCTGGGAATCGGACCCCCGACTGCCGCGTCGAGGACCCAAGGCCTCCAAACGTGGGTCTCGCTATCCCTTATACTCATATATAAATTTTTAATCTTTCCTGAGACCAAACCAATTTCTCCTTCCCTGTCAGCCAATGTGGGCTTAAAATACAAACAAATTCACATGTATGAATGTGAACAGTGCAATTTACTGAGGATGTGGAACTGATGTGCTCTGCTTTTATATATACATTGCCTGTAAAGGGATCCATTCCTTTGATTTTAGTGTTCTGCTGTGTAATGACGGGGAACATTATTTTTGCCTTGACATGACCGTTTTGCTCACACGGCCTGTGCCTTTCTATGCAAATCTGCTCAATTTCTCTCATTGAGCTCAATTCCTCAAGATACAGAACAGAAGTTATGAACAATGAAGTTAAATTTCTGTTGTTTTTGAATTGCAGTCTGCCTTGGTTGTAGTTTCTGCTGTTGAGTAGTGGAGGCCACATGAAATTCAGACCAATAACACAATATAGTTTTGCTTTCAGAGGGGGGAGGTAAAGTTAACCTAGAGGCTGTGAAAAGAAGGGCCAGACAACAAGAGACTTGAAACACAATTATGTGATTTTCATCATACAATAATGAGAATTGATTTCGGCACTTGGACATGCATGCACAGCCCTCCACTGCACCCCACTTCTGCTGCAGTTGTGCATTGCAAGAAAGACAGCTTTTCAAGTGTCTGTCTGAAAAGCTGAACCTCTTTTGGTTTCAAGAGGGAACCATAATAAGAAGTTAGAAGTCAAGGTTTAGAAATGTTATAGGTTAGTGAGTTTAATCTTTCAATCAGCTGATAAGTAGCCCATTTGAGTTTGAACACACTTTTCAGACATTTCCATACTCTGTTTGTTCTGTTCTTGTTTGTCTTTTTAACATTTTGAAGCCTTGCATTAGGGTTATGGCTCTATTCCCTACGTAGTTTCTCATCGTTCTTAAGATTTTCTTCAGGACTGCATGATGAAGCCAAGGCTAATAGTTTATAATAAAGGTCAGTTTGTTTTGGAACAGGATAGAATTGTGTTATACTTGTTAGCCTGTTTTGAATTTTGCTGGGATTTTATGTATAAATGAGAAAACTCAGATATAGTTAATAGTGGGTAAATGAATGAAAACAACAGATATGGTAAATCTCTCTGTTACTGTTTCTGCATGCATTCGCTTAACTATGTGTTGCAAAGAAACTCCTGCAGTGTAATTAATACCTCCTCCAGCTGCAGCTCCCACCTGGATTTGATGTTTATATATCAACATGACATGCATGGTTGCTGTTCTGTTGCTGTAACAATTCCAGATAAAAAACAATTCTTTTGTGATATTATTTGCTTTTTTTTTAGGATGTGGTGGGTTTCAGCAATCAGTCATCGTTTACACAAGGTACGTGCTTCACCTGCATAAGACTCCATTACACATTAACCAAAATGAAGAACACTGTATGTTAAAAAAAAAAAAAAAAGAGAGAAAGTATTTAATCTCGGACTGATCTCTGACGTCCAGGTAGTTTTTGTTCAGATGTTACCAGTGCTTCCCCTGCTGAGCAGTCTCCTGGGGCAGCAGACCGAGGGCTACAGGGTTCCGGGTGGAAACCTGCTCCCCCCATCACCACCGCTGGACTGCAGCCTGCTGCGATGCCGTGGTCTTCATCTGACTACAACCCACAGGACTCCACAGCTCAGACTCTGGCCTACCCAGCTGCCTCTGCCCTCACTGCTGATGTATACATGCAGACTCTGTGTCCCAGCTACACCATGCTGACCTATACACACACACCGCTGCTAACTAACTTTGGCGTGAGTAAGAAATCACAGTGCAAACTTCAAACCAGCTTCAGTATATATACCAAGGTGCTGAACTCTTTAGTAGATAATAAAAAATGAAGGAGATGGAAACACAACTGGATTGGTAGCCTGACAGACTTAGTGCTAGTTTGCATAAAAACTAAACAATCCAACCTTCTTTTTAACATTAAAGTCACCTTTACCTTTATCTGTGGGATAATCTTTGATCTCAAACACTCTCTGTTTGAGAAAGAATGCCAGTTTGGTTGATTTTAGAATCCAGCAGCATAGTTCACAAGGTTCAGTGAATATCAGCTTGATGCAACTGTGCTACAGTGCATAAAATTACTTTTTATGCATTGTAGCAAATTACTGAAAACAAAAAGTCCATTAATCCTTTGCTAATATGGGACTGATTTCATATATATCCACAAGTCCACCTATCTTATAGGTGGACTTGTCATGTGACAACCAAAGCAATGGCTGAGCTGCAACCAAAGACATGGCATGCTTTAGACCAGGGGTGCTCAAGTCCAGTCCTGGAGAGCTGCCGTCCTGCAACTTTTAGTTGCAGCCTTACTCCAGTAGATCAGGCTCAGCTATGAACAGGCCTGGTAACGAGTCATTCATTTGATTCAGGTGTGTTGGAGCAGGGATGCATCTGATAGTTGCAGGGTGGTAGCTCTCCAGGACTGGACTTGAGCACCCCTGCTTTAGGCAATCAGAAAAAAATGTTAGGCATACATTCTTACCTCTGTATTTAACATTGCTATGCAATCTGAAGGCCATACACACACAATTAAAAAATTACTGATAATATTGATTAAACCTTTTAAATATATAATTATAGTATGAACAGTAGAAGTATGTGAAGCCAAAGGTGTCAAAACTTTTGAAATCAACAAAACCTTGTGTAAACAGGAGCTACTGTATATGGTGAAGTTTTCAGCAATGAATTCTTTATTTTCTGTGAAAAATTATTGGAATTTTGTTGTTTTGTTTTTAAAATTGTGTTTGCAACATTAAGACACAGCCAATTATAGTTCACTTAGCCAGATGGCTGCATTCCATTCAAGCAGTGAATATTGTCAATATTGCAATCAATATTGAGAGCAATATTGATTGCTCTCAAAGGTGCAAAGCAATTTCAATGCTTGGGCTCAGTTATTATAGTGTTGTTGGTTACTTATTTTTAAATTAAGTAACCAACATATATTCATGTCTGACAATGACATGAATATATGTTGGCACCAGGGGTTGCATTAACCCAGTGTTTGGCAACTTTTTTTGGGACTATGCCCCCCTATCCAGCTCCTTCAAGCTGTTTTTACTGTTCAGCGTGACTCAGCATCAGATTCTATTCCCTGATTCACATCTACTTTGTTGTCATGTCTAAGTTGCTGCTTTGACACAAGTGAACCACAGCAAGGACGTTAGCCGGTGTAATGCTGAACTGAAGTGATGAAGCTACCAGTATCAGGAGTGCAGAACTGCACCAAGAAGCAATCAGAAACACCAAAGAGAAGAAGCGCTACCATCGATATAATTGCAGCCATTCATGTTTTAAAGTTACAGACCAAAGTTTTTAGCAAGTTGGTCAGTGTCATGGTTTGAGTTTTTCTGTGTTTATTTTAGGTTTCTGTGTTTTCTGAGTCTCCATGTTGTCCTGTCTCCCCCTTGATTATTCCCAGGTGTGTCTCGTTCCCTGATTACCTCCTGCGTATTTAATGTCACCTGTTTCTCAGCATTTCTGTCGGGTCCTAGTTGTTCGTCATACCAGTCTGTATTTCCACCGTGCTGTCCATTCGTATCCCCTGTTGATACCAGTGTTGAGCCTTAGCTTCCACTCAGCTGTGCTGCCTGGGCTTGTTGGACTGTGTTGTTGGACTATTTACATCATTAAAATCATAATTTCTCTCACACCAGCCTGAGTCCTCAACGTCTGCCCACCACCTCACACCACATTTCTTGACACATAGTTTAAACTGATGTTGTTGTGCATATAAGGTGTAATGTTAACCTTTGAGAAAACGACCCCAGAGGAATCACAGCATCCCCTTTTGTAAAATTTTCTGCCAGCGCAGAAAGAGAAAGAGCCGTTGAGAAACGCTACATCAATGGAATATTCTGTATTTGACTGTTTTTTTTTTTTGTTTTGTTTTAAACAACAGAAAAATTTGTTTCAAAACACTTTGATTTGATTGAAAAAAATGAACAATTTGTTCAATTTAAAGTAAAAAAAAAAATCAAATTGTCAGTAAAACAAAAAAAAGATAAACCCTTTTGGAAATGTAATGGTTTTTGATTTTACAAAAAATGTTTGTTAAAGTTTTTATTAAAATCATAAATTTTTATCTCAATACGTAAAGGTTATTTGCAAAATATAAACTTTTACAGCTTCTATACATTAAAATTCTTCACAATTATACAGTTAAAAACTGTTTCTTAGCCAGGTGGTCTTTCTCTGGATGCTCCAAAGCCTCCTGCCTGAGGGAAAGGGCTAAAACAGTCTGTGCACAGGATGGGTGGAGTCCTTCATAATGACCAGAGCCCTGCTCCTACATCGTGATAGAGGTCTGAGGTGGTAGGAAGGCTGCTTCCCACAGTTGTCTGTGCAGCCTTAACCAGAGCGATCCTCTCAGCAGCAGTGCATCTATCATGCCACATGGTGATGAAGGTGCAGAGAACACTCAGTAACCACAGAGCAATTGAAGCTCCTAATGACTGAGCTCCCAAGTCCAGCTCTCTGCAGCTTCCAGAGGAAGTAGAAACGCTACAAGAATATCCTTGTCCCTTCTGAAATCCACCTCCCTGTTCTATTTCACATTGATGCAGACTTTACTTTCTTTGTACCACTGCATCAGGCGATCCACCTCCTCTCTGTATTTGGACTCCTCACTGTTGATTATATACATATGTATGACCTGGAAGGGTGTGATTGGGAGGAACAGCTCCCAACTCAACAAAACTCGATTGGTGTTCTGTTGGACTTCTGTGCTCATCATGCATTGTCCATAACAAACACCATGTTCAAGCATAAGGGTGTCCATATGTCCTCTTGTTAACAGGACACGCTAAGCCATGATTCAGTGATCGACTTTGTCATCTGTGACCACCTGTTTTGGACACTCGGGTAGTGGTCAGAGCTGTCCTCTGACCACTTTCTGGTGGTAAGTTGGCTCAAGTGTTAGAGGAAGATGCTGGTCAGAGCTGGCAGGCCCAGATGTGGTGTGAGGGTCTCCTGGGAAGGTCTGGTAGAGCCTCTCAAGAGCCATCTCCAGGAGAACTTTGAACACATTCCTGGGGAGGTGGGGAACATTGATTCTGAGTCAACCATGTTCCGTCCCTCCATTGTGAAGGAGGCTTATCGGAGATGTGACCGCAGGGTGGCCTATGCCTGTTGTGGCGGCAACCTTGAAATTCGTGGGTGGACACCATTGGTGAGAGATACTGTTAATCTGAAGAAGGAGTGCTGTTGGGCCTTTTTGGCCTGTGGGACCCCAGAAGCACCTCCGATCTCTGGGGATGGGGTCAAAGTGGTGGTTAATGAACCCGCAAGTGGATGAGAGTCGCTCTGAGTTTCTTAAGGCTTTGGATGTTGTGTGTTGGTTGATGCGACTCTGCAATATTGCAGTTCCCCGAGATTGGCATACAAGGGTGGTAATCACCTTATTCAACAAGGGGGGCCAGAGACTGTGCTCCAATTACAGAGGGGGTCACATTCTTAATCCTCCCTCGTAAGGTCTATTCAGAGGTCCTGGACAGCAGGGTCCTTCAGATAGTCAAACCTCAGTTTCAGGCAGAGCACAGTGGTTTTCATCTGGGTCGTGGAACACTGGATCAGCTCTACACTCTCAGATGGACTTGGAGAAGGCGTTCGACTCTGTCTCACAGAGAGACCTGTGGCACGTTCTCCAGAAGCATGGGGTACCGGGCCCATTGATGTGGGCTTTTTGGTCCCTGTATGACTATTCTCAGAGTCTGCTTCACATTGCCGGCAGTAAGTCGGGCTCATTTCCAGTGAGAGTTGGACTCCACCAAGTCTCCCTTTTGTCACCAATTCTGTTAATTGCTTTTATGGACAGAATTTTAAGGCGTAGCCCACATGTGTCAAACTCAAGGCCCGGGGATCAAATCCGGCCCGCCGTAGCTTTTTATCTGGCCCTCCACAGACTACACTAAACACTAAGTGTGATTAAATATTATATTGTCAATCATATCAGTGCAGTTTTTATCTGTTTACTGCCAATTTGTATCAATCAATCCCTCCAGTTTCTTGAGAATTTACTTGATGTATGATTATAGTCCATGATTTATACAGCGAGTAAATAAACAGTTGCATTTATTATTAGTTCCTGAAGGGACTGAAAAGATCATAGAATAGAATAGAATAGATAGTATTTATTGTCATTGAACAGGATTCAACGAAATTTCTATTGCAACTCCCGTGCAAAAAGTCAAAATATATCAATAATATTATGTAATTCATTGACATATTAACAGTTTGTGAACATATTTTATCGACACATTCTGGCACAACCAGCCCTTTAAGAGCCTTTATGTTCTTGATTTGGCCCAAAACGAAAATGAGTTTGTCACACCTGTCCTAAACTTTCAGACATCAACGCAAGGCTACGATGCATTACTGCACTCAGCTGTTTGACCCCCTAAGGAGAGTCGAAAAGCGCAGGTCCAGTCCTCCAAACCATTAGCATGTACTGCAAAGGGTTAGGGTGAGGGTCCGTGCCAGCTATAGAAATGAATGAAAAATAAGAAAATCTTCTAAAAGACTATTTGCTAATCAGATTTATGGACTGGGAGATGTTACACAGGTGGACTGCAGAAAACAGTAACTCATTTGTTAAAAAATAGACAGCGATGCTGAAGGCAAAAAAGATAAAAATCGATTATTAATGTTTAACCATGCCAGCAGAAGTGAAAAGAGTACAACCTTCCAAAAATGTTGGAAGGTTTAAATGAGCTTAACCCTCTCTGGCTCAAATTACTTGAAAGTTGGTTCTGGTTTTCAAATATGAACACAAGCTGGTTGGTCCTATTCACAGATCAGCAGGTCAACCCAAATCCACTCTTTCATTTGGTAAACTTATATTACCAAATGGTAATCTCTCTACGTTTGTAATCTATTACTTCAAAATTTTTAAGAGTCAGTGCCGATCAGCGCATTTAAAATACATCTTGGAATGTGTTTCTTCTTTCAGACCATCCCAGTGGCTCCAAGTCAAAGCTCCCTCACCCCGATGGAGCTCCCAGACTCCGGGCTGGCCTACCCCTTGTGGGCACAGCCTCTTACCACCATATCTGCTGTGCCCAGTCCAGGTCTTCAGTTTGCCTCAGGTTCTGCAGCTCTGCCTGGACCCCCTTTGGTTCATATGCCTTTACCCATGTCTTTGACCGCCATGATTCCTCAACCAGATTCCGAGTCGGTGAACCCTCACCCTCAGGTTCTGGACACCCAACAGCACTCGGAGAAGGAGCTGGACCAAGAACCACAAGATCATTCTCTGGCAGAAAATCCTGACGAAGAGCCAGTATCCCCTAATCTACTGGATGAACTTCTGGAAGATCAGAAAGAGCATGATGATGAACAAGACAAGAATTCATATTCCAGCTCCATGTTCTTATCTAATGTCTGAAGTCACAACTGTTCATTCCATTGAAACAGATTTTTTTCCTTTTACTTTTCTGTCATGAGATTGCAGAAAATTTTGGCATACTCATTAACTCAATTCTTACCTTAGTTCATGGACAATCTACCTTCCAATCAGACAGAGCTGGAAATGTTTAGCAAATAAGTATGGGTGAAAATTGCAGCCACTAAATGCACAGAACTGATAATTGATTTCACAAATTTTCACAATTCATTTCTTTGTGAAATTAAATTCTGACATTGCAGTAAAATTTGATTCTACTTATTATTGGTACTGGGGAATGAACAGAGATGCATGACAAATCCCATACTTCAGAAATTTGCAGAAATCTGTCCCCCCAAAAAATCCCAAATTCATCTGTATTTGTGTGAAAATGTGAAAAAATGTCAACGATTAAGGCAAAGCATTTCCCTATGCAAACTTGGGTGTAGATTCACACAATTTGTTCTTTCCGAGTAGATCTTTCCTGTCTTTCACCTATGTTGTAGGCCTAGAGCACTCTTCACATTCTCTCTGGAAAATAAAGAAGCCTCACTCAACTAAAGTCTTCAGTTGTCTTCAGTTGAAAAATAAGAAAGAATGCTCTGTTTATAAATTATTGGTTTTATTGGTGTAACATGATGGTGGCAAAATATTGTCATCATCAGTAATTAATTCTCACTTCACAGGTTAGTTATTTCCATTGCTGACTGTGCAGCAGTGGGATGGGGTGGAGGTTGTGAAAAGGTGGTGATCTTAGGACAGTGATATGGCAAAACCTAAGTATATTTGTATTGGAACATTTTATGTTTCAATCATCCATCTATCCATCCATTTTCTGTTCACCCTTATCCCTACTGAGGTCGGGAGGTGCTGGTGCCCATCTGCATGATATACAATGGCAAGATGAGCAACTCTAGTCTCGCACCAGCAAAACTAAGAGAACCCTTCTTGAAGCTTCATGGAGATGGGGAAAAGTAAAAAACGTATTTTGTGGATTCAACACAACAAAAAACAAATTACAAATTTAAAAAATAAAGTAATTAAAAAATATTAAATTCTTTTAAAAATCCAAATTTACTTTTAATTGGTCAAATAAAACAAAAAAAAATATATATATATAAATCCTTCTCACCCACCACAGGTGGGTGAGAAGGGAATAACACCTTTACTTGGGTCCTCTACCAGAGGCCTGGGAGCTTGAGGGTCCTGCAGTATCTTGGCTGTGCCAAGGACTGCTGCACATTTCTGGACTGAGATGTCTGATGTTGTTCCTGGGATCAAAAGCAGTACTAAATCTTGAATTAAAATCAAAGTTTGGGAGTGACTGCTTGTGGTCAGGGATATAAATAACTTTGTATAGCACTGTACACAATCACACACAAGGAGTATTTATATTAGTAAAAATGTTTCATGAGTTTTTAATTTCTGATTTGATTCAGAAACTAAATCTTGCACCTTGTACAAGATATAAATACATGTTGTGAAGATGGATGTGCTCGCTGCACGCTGGCTTATATAGAACCGTCTCTGCTGCCAGGTGTGTGAAATAATATACCTTGTGTTCTTCTGACTCATCTTCTGCTCCTCCCGAGTCCATCGTTGAGAGTTGTTTGTTTGGTACATGTGCCACAGACAAAATAGAAATCCTAAAACTACTAAAACTCCACGCAGCTCCATTTTTGTTTATAGAACAGGTATTTATACTCAGTGTGTTCTTCAGAGGATTTTGTGTTGAATTCCTTCAGTAGTTCTTGGTGCAGGCGACGGGGGGGCCAAAGGGGATGGGGGGACAAGTTTTTTAGTTAGTTAGGGTTTGACACAGTGCAGTGTGAATGCAAATTTCACACTGCACTGCATTCACACTGCAGTCCTGAATATGTAACAAATGTTGCAATTTTGGTCCCCAGATAGTTCGAGTGCACCAGACTATCCATGCACCCTTAGTCACCTCATTTATCAGAGAATATTGCAAAATAGATTCCATTTACAGACTCAGATATTCTAAAAAAAGGAATTGTGCTCACGAGAAGTTAATAAGGGAATAATTTTTAAAACTTCCTGCTATGTTGTTTTATGTGGTAGTTAGTGATTAATAACACCTTTACTTGTCTAAAGTCATTAAATATTTTATCATAATCAAAATCAAGTAAATGAAGACAAGTCATCAAATTATTCAATAAAAATGACATTTAAAGAAAAAAGAATTCTTATCAGAATTGGTAACAGTGATACAACTCCTGTATTTAATTGGTATCATATTGATACTGAAATGTATTGCGAACCCCAACTTTACAACACTGCAAAGAAGAAAAAAAAGATGAATGGAACTTGTTGCTCCTCTAAGAGTGTTAACAGAACAAAACTATCCAAAATCAGGCTGGTTCAGCCTTTGCTTGAACTGTTTGACATGTAAATAGAACTTTCCTGTCACTTACTGCGACACACTGCAGTGTGTGAACCACTTGATAAGCTGCTCTTTTTGTCATCAGTCTTGGGTGTTGAAAATAGCACAGCGTATAAACAACCCCTGATTTACTCAATGAAGCAACACTTTGGGTTATGATAATACACACCTATCAGTGTTGAACCTATCAGTTGGAATTCCCAGTGTCCTAATATGTTCACTTCTAAACAAAGAGCTATTGTGAGGTTGTAATAAAAGCTTCATATCCAATAACTGGAACTGTAGAAGGAGGGGGAATTCAGAGACATGTTGATGTTCTTGTTTAAAAATTAACAAGTTCAAAAAGTGTTTGCTTCTAGACTCAAAGGACATAGCTTCATAAATCTGATAATGAACTTCAAAGAAAAGTCATAAATTTGTGTCCATAAGCCTTGTGTGCTTTCTTATCATTGCCGTTTTTTACAGTGTATGCTTCAAAGAAACCTACTGTACAACAGCTGCAATAAACAGTTCTAGTCTTGAAAGGATCCATGACTAGTGGAACATGTTGGCCTAAATATGTTGCAGTTTTCCTACTACCTAAAAAAATACTGTTTATATGCCAAAACTCATAATTACCTCAAAAATTTATATCTTTTGTCATTTTTCACTCATGGAGGTTGTCACTTTTTCACAGATGAATTGATGATGTATAATGGTCCTTTCTGTACTGGAGTCTACAGAGTAAACACCAGAAGGCTAACTTTTTCCAAGTAGATTGCGTTTGACTGGTGTCATTTTAGATAATGCCACACTGTGTCACTATCAGCTGTGATAAAAAAAAAAATGAATAAAAATAAAAATTGAGGCAAATCTGAATAATTTCCCAAATAAAAGAAAGGAGACCGCAGTGTGAGAATTGGAGTTGAACACAACTTCCATAGGACCTAAAATCTGGAACATGGACATTTCTCCAGAACACTTTGAGTCATTTATACCAGCAGAACCAACAAAGGCTGATCACTACTTTAACTAGCTAAAAATAAATGCTGTGCTGCTGAGAGCCGGACGCTCTTTCAGATGCTAACAGGAGCTATACTGCCTGGGTACTGACGACTCTGATCGACCGGTCTTGTGTGAAATTCTGTTCGCCTGTGTCGGGAGCGCGCTTCGCAGTCAGAGGGGCAGATCTAGTGGCTCTGACCATTTTCACAGTGCTTCTGATCGATTTCTTGGTAAAACAACTCATAATCATCTCAAAGTTGTGACATTCCGTTTAATCAGCAGCTGCTGTTTAAAAAAGAAACAATAACAAAATCATAAAATAAATAAATAGACAAGGTCTTGTGTGGAGGTCTTCTTACGTTGTTTTGTGTTGTTTTTTTTTATCACCAGGAGAATCTGTCTTTTTTCCAGTACTGTCACTTAAACCTGACAAAAGAGTCAGTGGACAAACACAGTTTTCCAACACATTGTGTGAATTGATAATTTTTCATTGCTAATATAAGATGATGGAAGCTCGCTGATAGCAGGACATGAAGATTCAACTTTCTGAAAAGATGAGAGGGTAGACTTTCTAGAAAATCCCCTTTTAATGTAAAATATGACAGATTACTGGATGAAAGAAATTTCTAGTTACTAATTTTTAGTGGTTCAAAGATACTATCACATATAATCATTGAGAATTTGGAAACGGTTGCTCTTTATTTGCCAAAGCAATGAGGCCGGGGTGATATTACAGCTGCCTGAAATAATCTGTTCCACACTCCCCCCATCCCATAGGAACAAATTAATTTACCAGCAAGTCTTTAACTGTGTTTATTCTTCTCAATATCAACAACAAATCCTGGATATATGCTAATTTTTGCTCTTTATTTGACAAAGTTATGAGAGGGGAACCATATATTTTAGCCACCTGAAATAATGTAGTCCCCTCCATAAAATGGGGACAAATTAATTTACCAGCAAGTCTTTGACTGTGCTTATTCTTCTCTTCTTCAACAATAAATCCTGCGGATTTGGTGACGTTTGATCATTTTTTGCCAAAGTTATGAGGGGGGAGCCATATATTTTATCTGCCTGACATAATCCGTTCCCCCTCTATAACATTTGAACAAATAAATTTACCAACAAGCCTTTAATTGTATTTATACCTCTCTTGATGAATAATGAATCCTGCAAGTTTGAAAATATTTGCTCAATTTTTGGCAAAATTATGAGAAGGTAATCGTATATTTTAATTGCTTGAAATAATCCGTTCCCCCTCCATTTCATAGGAACAAATTAAATTACCAGCAAGTCTTTAATTGTGCTTATTTTGACATAGTCAACAACAAATAATGTGATCTTGGTAACATTTACTTCTTAGTTGCCAAAGTTATGGAGGGACAATATTTTAGTTATTTTAGCTGCCTAAAATAATCTGTTCCCCCTCAATTTCATAGGAACAAATCAATTTACCTGCAAGTCTTGAACTGTTTATTTCTCTCATTATCAGCAACAAATCCTGTGATTTTAGAAACTGTTGTTCATTATTTGCCAAAGTTGAAGGGGGGAATCATATATTTTAGCCACCTGAAATAATCTCTTCCCCCCTTTAACATGGGAGCTAAGTAAATTGCCAGCAATTCTTTAACTGTTTATTCCTCTAATAATCAACAATAAATTTTGCAAGTTTGAAAACATTTGTTCAATTTTTACCAAAGTTATGAAGAGGGAACCACATATTTTAGCTGCCTGAAATAACATAATCTTTGTAGGGGGAACAGAATATTTCAGGTGGCTAAAAGATTTTTCCCCTTTCATAACAGGCAAATAAATAGCAAATTTTACAAAAATAACAGGACTTATTTTTGATGAAGACAGGATAAGAATGGCTAAAATTTTGCTGGTGATATAATTATCTTCCATGTTGACTGGGGGGAACAAATTATTTCAGGTAGATAAAATATATGATTCTCCCCTCATGACTTTGACAAAAATTTAGCAAATATTTTCAAACTTGTAGTATTTATTATTCATCAAGAGAGGAATAAATACAGGTAAAGATGTACTGGTAAGTTAATTTGTTCCCATGTTATACAGGAGGAATGCATTATTTCATCAAGCTAAAATAGATGGTTTCCCCCTCATAAGTTTGGCAAATAGAGTACATATTACC